CTGATTATGAAATGAGGTTATGTGTGGTATAGAGAATATATAAATATATGTATGTTGTACCGATATTGAGAAATCTTCAATTTTTGATGTTATATTGCATGCTTTGTATAAAATAATTGATCTACGTCAATGTGAAAAAAAAAAATCGATACTGCTTTTGATATTGCTTTTCTAGATATTTTACTATTTACTCTGAATTATTTAATGTTAGCATAATGTAAAAAGTTACATATTACTTTTTCAAATCATTTTATTGGAATTTTTATGTATCGTTTATACCATAGATTTACAATAATACTATAAAAAAATATTTCGAATTGTAAACTTTTTTTCATTTATGCTAATATAAAAGTAAATTCGACTATAATATTTAATATGTGTTATATCGTTTTGAGTTTGAAATAATGTCAGATGCGATACAGAAAAATAAAGAAAAATATGTTCATTTGTATAGCATTGAGGAATTGTAAATGTTTGGGGTAATTTAATGTTGATAGAAATTCTGTGTTGTAATTATTTGTTTTAAAGTATTTCACTGATTCTGTATTCTACTTCTACTTCTTCACTTTATTTTGTATTGATTAAACCATAATATACTAAAAATGGATATTTACACGATATATATTACATATATATTATCTTTATCGATAATTGTTTGAACTGAATTTACTGAATCAACTGAATTTACGATAATAGAGGCACACAAATATTTTGATACATCGGGTCCATATCTACCATTCTTTTAGTGATTGTTTATTCAAAAACAATATTAAATTCAATTCAAACAGCATAACTCTATTTAATTGGCATTTTATGCATTTTGTACAAACTAAATTTGTTAGTTTGAACAAATTTTTGAATATTATTTTGTTAAAAAATATTTTTATTCAAAAATTAGAAAAAATTTCAGCATTACAAAAATAGTATAAAATAATATATAAACCTCTCATATTATAAAAATTAATAAGGATATATTATTTAATTCTATAAGAATCGTCATATTTCATCAAAGCGTTCACACAAGGAAATAGGTTTTCGGAGTATTTGTTAGTTATTAACATTTAAAATAATTTTAATTAACAACAACGATCAAATAAAACCAATGGATTAACAAAATTGATTATATTACGACAAAACTTTTAATTACTAACATTCCAACGTATTTACAAATTGAAAACCTATAAGTACAAGACATAAATTCAGGAACCTCAATTATAATGATGTGACGATAGCTTTTTTTAAACTTTACAAATGTATTTAAGGCAGAATTAAGTTTTTAAAAAAAAACAAGCAATGTCAAGTTCCTGGAAAATATTAAGTAACATTTGAATTGGCAGATCTTCTTAGTTAATATTTTGAAAACTGTTTACGCGTAGTGAATGCAACACGTTCTTCTATTGTTGCTTTTACCATCCACTACGTAAGAGAATTTTGTACCATCCTATAATTGTAACGTAATTATTGTATCGAATAATTGTAACGCCTTAATTATTGTATCGCTATAATTGTAAAGCTTTAATTATTATAACGCAATTATTCATGTTTTTATAATTCCTGTTTTTTAATGTTCAAATCCTAAATATCTATGGGTCTTCTCCTATTCCAAGTTGCGGCCTGATGGGCCAATTGGCTACTCTCTGACAGTTGGTACCACATAATTTCAGGTTTGAATCCTGGTGGTGGCGTAGATGTTTGTTAGTGGTTCGGAATCCACGTTAAATTGTAGGTCCCGGTCTAGTTAGCCCAAATTGTGCAGAAAATGACCGTTGTACGACAAGCCAAAGCAAACCTATTTCAAGTTTAATACCAATTTTTAATCTTTATTTTAAATTATATATATAAATATTTGTTTATTTTAGTTGAATGATTTTTTTTTTTTTTTTTGCAGTTACGATTGTTATTGTTATAATTGCAAAAGACATGTACTAAACTTGTTATGATGAGACTGTAAAATATATTAACATTTTCTATTGGAGTTTTATTATCGCAATATTCATTAATGTGTTTTCTTATGTTAATCCCTGAAGATGGAAAAGATATTTTTTGTAATATGTGACAGAACTAGAGCATGATTCCTGTTTTGCCATTGCTGAGAAGTAAACTTTTTAAAAATAATTATTAGCATGAAAAAAATTAATTGGCAAAATGGCACGTCAGAAGTTACTACAACAGAAAGCAATATCAAATTAGCAGTAAAATAATTAGAAATTTATCATATATACATTCTGTAACATAATGAGAGCATTAATAATTTTTTTAATTAGATTTTGATGCATAAAAAATTTTACAATTGAATAAACTAGTTTATTCAAAACCTTTAATGTAAAACAAACTGATATACATCGATGCAGGTTAATAAGAACCATCCCTGCTTCATTAATAACGAAGTAACCGACATTTACAATTATCATCGTTGTGATTCTTATTTACTATTTTCAGTGGCTAAAATTTTTCGAAGTTGCATTTTTAAAAAATTGCAAAATTGCACCTGCACAAAGTTGAACATAGCTGCTCAAACATGTAAGAAATAAATGCTTCTAAAAAATTTACTTTTTTACAGAATTTAATTTATATATTTCATATATGGATTCTGTGATTCGATACAGATTTCTAAAGAAAATAAATCTACACAAAATTCTGCTGAAAAATCGTCAAGGAAAAAAATGGCGCTAAATCACACGTATTATTTAAAGTGGCGATTTCACTGGATGTTTGTAATTTTTTTTTTTTTTTTTTTTAACAAAATGAAAGGGGTTTTTAGTACCCAAGAAGACGAGCATTATTTATGATGAAATCTAGTGTGGTATTGTTTCCTTGAGTGTCACAAAAGCGTAAATCTGGATGTCAAAGCTTTCTCTTTAGCATTAATTACCAACTGCTCGATCATATATTAAATGCATATCTGCCTATTCTTCCCATTGGAGCATTGTGAGTTGGAGCAACTGAATTGTAACTGGGTATGATTGGGTTGAGTCTGGAGACACAGATTTGAGAACTCATAGCTTTATTGACACATTCACAAACACAACACACATACAATATTTAACACATTTAAAGACATTTAATTATAGATTCGCGGAAAGATTTCACTTCTAAGCTGAAAACCCGAAACTCGGCTGAGCGCAAGGTGAACGAAATAGGCTTCCTCTCCAGGTGAGAGTCTATAGGCCGACTATAACTCAGGGTTGCGTTGAATATATTTCCTCTCGGGTTGAGAGAAACTAAACGTTTCTCAGGAAAACGCCAGGTGCTGTGTACTTCCTCTCCTGTGAGAGTCTCGAGGCCTGCTGACCATTTCTCCTGAACGCCACAGGGGCAGCGTAGGAAGGAGCACGGTTACACCATGTGTTATCCGCTATGACCTTCACTAAGTTATTCAGTCAATGGTATTAATTTGATGCTGTAAACATGTGCTGCTTTTAAAGAACGGCATTTGCTTTGACTAATTTTCTGCTACACCTTAATAAACCAATCATCTGCAACTGTCCATGGTGTTACTTTCATTGAAAAATTACTAACAGTTAATGTTTACCTTTTTGGAAGCATGCTATTTCTCCTTCATGAAATGTAGCCTGACGATCGATTGGCTAGCTCTCTGGCCTTTATAACCACAGGCTTCAGATTCGAATCCTGATGGTGCCATAGATATTTGAGAGAAGGTTCCAAATCCACTTTAAATTTCAGGTCTCTGTATAATTAATCTAAAGTGTGCACAAAATGACCGTAAAGAAACAAACCAAACCTTCATGAAATAAAATGAGTCAAACGCCTAGTGCCTGTTGGACTCATTTTGAAATGAATCATTTTTTATGTTTTACGTTGAAATGCGAATTGAAAATTTAAAATTGCATTTTAAATTTATTGAAATACGAATTGCATTGAATTTGTATGTTTACATTTTGCATGATTAAATGTTCAACCTATTGTCTCTTTAAATTATAATATATAATACCTTATCAGGTGTGTTATGCCACCATGGGGCTGTTACGCCATTGAAGACAAAGAATACTTTATTAAATAGAGGATAAATGCATGTGTTTAAGTTCTGTTTTCAAAGTGAAAAACTATAATTTGTTGATTTTTTTAAATGGTAAATGTATCAAGATGTATAAATCACTCAATAAGCAAATGATATAAATTATTTATTACACAAAAAATTTGCAATATATTTTCATTTCATGTATTTTATTATTTAGATACTGTGTACAAAGCATTTTTGCATGTGTGAATATTTGAAATTTTTCGGAAATATTCACTTAATTAAGAAATGTATATGACTGCCTCAAGTTCAAGCTGAATTTCATCAATACTTTGATGTACCTGAAATTTGCACCTTTGTTTCTCTTACTTAAGTAAATGTAGTGAAATGTATGTTGCCGTTTTCCCCAAAAACGGAAAATGATGTAAGTTTACCTATCTTATTCATCTAAGTGTTGTGAAATAAATGTATTTGTGAATAAAATATCTCTGTATCATTTTCTATAATTTGCTTCTTCATCATTTCGAAAAATTAAAAAAATCAATATAATTTAAACCTCGCCAACCCAAATTATCTTGCGGGCCACTTTGGAAATGCATCCTAACTCCGCGGGCTGCATATAAAATCATGTATCCCAATATTAGATTTAGATACTCTACAGACATTTTTCTGGAGGAAAAATCGAAACATAATGAGTTATTATTCTTGTGATTACTATTATTCTTACATGTAAACATATTGTTGTTGTTTCTTATCCAACTTGGCTGGCCAAGCCCACGAGCCCATACGTACTCATGATTGAAGGGGAAGGAAGCAGCTTCTGTTGTGATGGAGCACCCGTAGGTAGAAATCTGACTTTGGCTCCGTGACGCTCTTACAGTCATAGGAGACCAGGACCTACGGCTTAAAGTGGATTCCGAACCACTACAAACATCCATGGCACCGCCGGGATTCGAACCCTGTGGCACCGAGCGCCAGAGCGCTAGACACTCGGCCAATCAGGTCCCAAATTTGTGAATGCCAACGGCACGCGGTGTTTTGAGGTGGTCACCCACCCAAGTACTGACAGCGCCCAATGATTCTTGATGTCGGTAATCTAGCGAGAACCGGTATATTCAGCATGGTATGGCCGTTGGCATGTAAACATAGATAATATAATGATGATGATACTAAATGCACATTGTAAAGAAATACATAACACTAAAAATGAAATATAAAAAATACATAAATATAAACGAAATAAAAAAAGAAGTCCTTAAAAATATTTATTTCACTAGGGCGATATTTGTTTCTCCACTCTCTCACTTAGCCTTTGCAAATCAATCTCAATTTGGGTATTTGTACATCGTAATGGGTGTTGCAGGTTAGCGTCCGCTATATTGGAGCGTGTTTTGTGTTTGGCCCATTTCATTTTAGAAAAAAAAAAAAAAAATTCACAGGTGTAAGTTGAACCAAAAAGTGCTATCAACTTCAATTAAGAGTCTGGTTTGCTCTGCTATCAACAATCAACTGTGCATATCTGGGGATGATCACTGAGGTTACTTAAAGTAAAACATAGAGCTTGCTATATTAGATATTCCAAGATGCGCTCGCATTATGAGTTTACAGAATATAATTTAATTATTCTGCGAACTGTAAACTCATAAATAATACAAGAAATATCTGTGATATATTCGCAAGAACATTATTTTAAAATCAAAGTTTATTTTTTTTCTCATAATTTCGACACTTAATTTTTGAATATAGGGATGCACAAATTGGTTTTCACTACTTTGGCCATGATAAAATAAATATATTTTGCAAAAGTGTGATGAATCTCACAGGTTGAAAAAATATTCAATGTCGTGGGTTGGCCACCCTATATAAACTTGAAGTGTTGAATTGTTATGTAAAAATGCATGCTATTTTAGTAATAAAATATTACAACTGCCTCTGCGTTTTAGCTGATGAACTTGGACTGAAAAAACGCTTAAACCTTAAAACCATTTTTTTTTTGTTTTTTAAAAAAAAGTGCTACATTTGAAGAAAATATTTAATGAAATAAAACTTTCTAATGGCATTTAACTTACTTACGGTTACTTAAAAATAACTGCTTGAAAGGAAAAAGTCTGGAAAATCTCATTAAGCGAATTTGATGCGGATTAGTGAGTTACTTTCCAAAATCTCAACCGGATTTTGTTTTAAAGCAGTAACTATAACGCACACCACTTGTGAGAATTCAAAGTTTGGATTAACTTAAATGGTATATGTACAAGTTATAAAATTAAATTGATCAGTAATTATAAAACAAGTTTGTATGAAGGTAAATACAAGGCTTAGCGAGATTAGCATACTTTTAATTTTTCTAAATTATATAAATATTTATTTATAAGGCTAATTAATCCTTATGTTCATTTCTCAGAGAGAATGTGAAGTATAAAAGACTTGTAATAAATGAAGTATAAAATAAGTAATATAAAAAAAAAAAAAAATTTTAATCATTCCTACTTTTTTTTTCACTATATTGCAGAAAAGGCCTTTGTAAATAAAGTTGAAATTTTTCTCTTACATCTGACGCCATCTATTGGTAGATACATACAACTTAAATCTAAAAAAAACTCAAATTCAATAATTAAATTTAATTAATGAATTAATATTTGAAAAACTGTATTAACATCAGTGTCATCCACTGCAAGTTTAAAAAATGTATTTGAACTTGAGTGGATGAATAAAATGTATTTTATGAACGATTGAAAAATTGAAAAGATATATATAGAGAGAGTGTGAATTATTAGTAGAAATTGAATGAAAACTTTTGATTCCGTTCTTTTTAATAAATGGCATCGATTTTTACATTTTATGTGAAGAAAGAAGGGAAAAGCAACCAGAAAGGTTAGATGTTTTGATGAAAACGATCTTTGATTAATAAAATTGATGAGAAAAAAATAGCATATTTATTTTCATTTCTGGGTACATATTTCTTTGGAATACAATAAGGCACGCCTTAACTTTTATTTGTGTACTAGTGCGCACCTTTTGAGAACCGCTGCCCTAGTTTATTTGGGGAATGATAAATCTGCTGTATATCTATTATTTCAAGAAAGCCCATTTCAGTTCAAGGACCAAACACTAAAAGAACAATAAACAAACAACGATGGATAAATAATGTATTAAAATGTGTTTAGATATCATCCATACACACACACACATACATACACTCAAGAGCCAAAACATTATGACCACCTGTCAATAACGAGTTGGCCCACCTTTGGCGCGCAACACAGCTTCAACCCGCTTTGGCATGGATGTCACAAGTCCTTGGTAGATGGCCGGAGACAGATTGTACCAGATGTTTAGCAACTGTCACGCAAATCCGAGATATTGCGAATTGGTGGTCTTTGAACTCTGAGCTGTCGTCCCAGGACATCCCAAATGTGTTCTATCTGATTGAGATCCGGTGAGTTAGGCGGCCAGGAATTTAACCGGAATTCAGCATAATGTTCCTGGAACCTCTCCAACACAATTTTAGCCTTGTGATAAGGGGCGTTGTCCTGTTGGAACATTCCATTTCCAGCTGGAAAACAGAGGCCATGTAAGGGTGCAACTGGTCCCAATGATGTTAAGATACCCTTTATTATTCATGGTCGGCTCTACCACAACCGCGGGTCCCAGAGACGCCCAAGAGAACGTCCCCCAAAGCATAATACCGGCACCACCGGCCTGTGTATGACCTACTGTACATTGAGGGAGCAACTGTTCGCCTGGAAGACGGCGTATCCAGACACGCCATCGGCGTGATGAATGACAAACCGGGATTCATCTGACCAGGCAACTCTCTCCCACTGATCCATGGACCAGTCACGATGTTCCCGGGCCCAGCGCAAGCGCAGTTGGCGATGACTCTTGGTCAGCAAAGGCACACGATGGGACGTTTGCTGCGTAGCCCCATATCCAACAGTGTCCGCTGAAGAGTGTGCTCCGATACTATTCTACTTGGTCCTGCATTGTATTGGGCTGTCAGCTGAGCCACTGTCTGGCTCCGGTTTTGCTTCATCATGCGAGACAGTCTCCGACGATCTTTTCTTTGATAGCGTGTGGGTGTCCAACACCATGTCGTCTATTGCTGGTTTCACCGTCATCCACTTGAGTGTACATACATATATATATATATATATATATATATATATATATATATATAAACTGCGGCAGATGTACAGATATCAACAGTTTTCAGATTACCAGTTTTAGATTTCCTCTAGTAGGAGATTTTTTATAACATGAAAAAAGGCTTAGTTCAAAATTTCGATAATATGCGATAATATTCTTTGCTGCTGTTTCGAAAAGGTGCAAAAAAAGAGGTATAATAATTTAATGATTTACTGCTACTATTACTCAATACATCCATTATCCCAATACAATACTGAGTGCAATCTTAGTATTATGCCTGATATAACATGGAACAGCATATCAACAGGAATAGCTTCTACCTCATTTGATATATTTCAGAATTGATAAGCACATGGAATTTCTTCTATAGATCCGTGATTTGAGATAGACTCAAAACCAGAAATCTCTGGGTGAAAGATATAGTGATCTTGGAGGCCATTCATGCATTCCATGCCTATTCAAAAGCAAATCGGTGCCAACTTTAGTTGTAGTAACACCATTATTTGACGTGGTGTGTACATTAGGGTTTCCCGAGTACAAAAACTGCCATGTTTAATTCATTGTGTCTATGTAAATTGGAAAGAACAATACGTTAAAAATAATAATACCGTTCACCTGTTAGGATACAAGATTTTAGAATCGTAGCACAAATCTTCTCGAAGGACAAAGAACAGATCATGAACGATACGGTAAATCCATTACTCACAGTGAATCTTTCTGACTGCTTCAACATACTCATGAGGGTATGTCGAGACAATTTGAGAATTAACTTTCCCATCTAGCAAGAAATGTGCACCATTAGTCCATAAAATGCTAAAAACCAAAGCATCATCTTCTTCCATTTTCGAATAGGTTAAACCATGCAAATGTTTCGTGATTTGGTAGATAGCCTGGCATCAGTTTTGAACATGTAGGATTTGTACTGATACTTTCATATTATTCTTCCACCTGTAGTTTCAAGTATGCCTTATGTATGCTATATGACGTCAGACGAAAACTGAAAATATGAATAGTTCATTTTTCAATCAACATAACATTATGCATTAAAATTATTTTTTACGAGTTAACAATTCTGTAGTATTCATAATGCTGTGTTAATTATAAAATAAGTTTTTAAAACTTATAAATGGGGAAAGTAAAAAATAAATTGAATGAATTCTTCATAAATTTAAGCTATAAAAAACTTCATCTTTTATTCAAGGTCGTATTAAAAAGAAGAAGATTTCTGAGGCTTCTTATGAATTGAAATAACCAGGAATACATCAATATTTCATGAGATAAATAAATATTTAAGTATGGTTTTCAAATTTATATATTGATTTTTAAAAATTGTTTACAAAAATTATTTTTTTCTTTTTGGCCGATATTTTTAATAATTTAAATAAAAAAGATTTAAATAAGGTAATGATTTCTTTAAAAATTCTAATCACAGGATAATCAAAAATATATAGGATTTTAAAAATAAAAAGTACTAGTTTTCGTAAGAGAATGTGTTTTGCACCAAAATCCATGCTAATAACTGTGTTATTTTTGTGCACAAAATAGAAAAAAATTTTAATTTTTGTGTGTTGGCTTATAAATTAGAAGTAATAATATTTACAAGCAATCAGTCCGCGGTTGAATCTCAGTATGGTACTATGTTTAGTAGAAGTTTTGAACAACATTAATGACAGATAATTAGCTTGTACATATTGAAGCCTCTGTGAAGTACATTCTTTTAAATATATTTGGTCTTGAGCAACTGATAAGTCAATCGTTTCTATTACCTGGTTTCTAAAGATCACCAGACTTAACTCCCGTGGATATTTAGTTAAGGGGCTGAATGAAGTCCCTTTTGAACATCAATAATTCATCATCCATGCATAGTTAAAATATGCTATCTGTTGTGAAATGGTGTCAGAACACCCAGATATGCTAATTGAATTATAGAACTGTGTTATCATATCATTCTGAATGGGATTGCTTATGCTGGTGGTCAAATTAAACA